GGTGTTATAAAGGATTTACTAATAAGCTTGGAATTTAGCTAAAAGAGCCCTGCCTCCAGTGTGACTGGAAGATGGTGTACTAACCAGGCTTTAGTAGAAACTGTGGGAAAGAAAATTCTGTAACATAACAAGTTTTAGGTGGCCAAGAAATGCTTGTCAACCTGTAGGTCTTTTTTCTTTTTTTTTTTCGAGACAGGGTTTCTCTGTGGGTCTTGAACCTGAATTGAGACGCTGCCTCCATCCATCTCCGTGTGGGCCAGCTCACATGCGAATATGCCCACATTTGTACCCGGAACTGTATGAAAGTATCATAGCATTAAGAAGGTTGTGAACCTCTGAATCTAGACCCTCAGCCATGGCTACAGAGACTTGTGGTGCCCTGACCTAAGATTCTTACCTGGTGGTGACCCGAGCCCGGTGATTGGCTGAGCCATCAGCGGTGTCGATCCATGACGCCCCCGGAGGACACGCATCTCCTGGCCAGCAGATTGGTATGTGGACGCCGTCCATTCCCACACATTGCCCATGAGGTCATATAGTCCTTCAGTGTAGCAGGTATGAAGTGGAGGAGCAGAGGCTACCATACATGAACCTACCCATACACACACATGCATAGATCACACATATGCCCAAAAAACAAACTGCAGTTCAGTTATCTTTACACTAGGGAGGCTTCTCTTCCTTAAGGGACATGACTGGTCTGTTGTTTGCTCAACAGTATATGACAGTCTGTTGCATTATCTCTAAGTGAATGTTCAACAATGTTGCAAGGGTGTTAGTGAGAAGAAGGCATCAACTGCCAAGGCTGAGGACCTGAGTTCGATCCCCTGACAGACATGGAAGGATAGAATCCACTCCCATGAGTTGTTCTTTGACTTCTAACAGGAAAAGAGGTGGATTGTGACTGAACATGCCTCATTAAAAATTAAAAATTCTAAGATTTCTGATTGTTCCTACTTTGTAGGTGCCTTTGATTGTTATGATCACTCTCTCCATAACAATTATGCTCCAATTTGCCCTGGAATCATGATCCTGTCTTTATTTTATTTTGGTTTTTTAGAGACAGGGAGCTATGGAGCCTGTCCTGGAACTCACTCAGTAGACCAGGCTGGCCTTGAACTCAGAGATTCACCTGTCTTTGCCTCTTGACTACTGGGATTAAAGGTAGTGCCACCATTGCCTGGCTATGATCCTGTCTTTTAACTCGGGGATAGAATGTACACTTGTTACAGAAATACTTTATTTTTTTAAAAGATTTATTTATTTATTATGTATACAGTATTCTGTCTGCTTGGATGCCTACAGTCAGGAAGAGGGCACCAGATTTCATTACAGATGGTTGTGAGCCACCATGTGGTTGCTGGGAATTGAACTCAGCCAGTGCTCTTAACCTCTGAGCCATCTCCCCAGCCCCCCAGAAATACTTTAATATTACTTTGTAAGGCTTTTCCCACCCACCGGGTCCCGTTGTTTTGCTGAAGGAAGGAAAACAAATCGTTTTTCCCCAATTGGAAGGAGGGCGACTGGGATGTGAGGAGGCCTGACTTGACATCAGTGCAGCCATGACAGGCTGCAGAGGAATAATACTGGAGTTAGGCTCACCCTTACAATAAATAACCAAGAAAAGCTACAGACTGTACCTGTGGGGGACCAGTCAGGACTGAGACAAACAAGTACGAGATGCTCCAGAATATTACGAATAGCTTACCTAACTTCTATATAAGTTGCCAATTTTCAGCACCACCAGTACCAATCCCTGTTTGACAAGACTTCTGTTACCCCACTCCTATTCAATCACGAGTTCAACCCCCATCTGAATCCAGAATTCCCCTTCCGCATCCTTTATCCCTTAAAAACCATGCCATAGCTGAGCTCAGTGCTCTCCCCGATCCAATGGACAGAGAGCCCAAGCTTGCTTGCACTTGCAATAAAGGCTCTCTGCTTCTGCCTATGAACTTGGACTCCTGGGGGAGCTCATTACGTGGGCATAACAGGATGAATTAATTTGACCGACTGGTCCCAATGTAACAATCCAGACTTGATCATAATTAAATATTCTTTAACCATATCTGTTAATGGACATTACTAATGTATTAAGATGAAAAACGGAAAACAGTACTTAGTCACTTCTGTCTAAATTAACATACGTAGTAGATTGGATACCAGTTTTTAGCTCCACCTAGGGTCAAACAGCAGACAGACAAATTCCTTTTGTGTCTAAGGGGATCTTTCAATTCCTGGGCTTTTGGGAAAAACAAAAACAAAACAACAAGCAGACACGTTGAACATGCTCCGGTAAACACATTTCCAAGGTTACTGCGATATTTTTGTAAATGGTGCCTTTTTTCCTTTGCTGTACTTTGTTTTGATTGTACTGACGTTCCTCCCCACCTCAACTCTATTTCCAGTCATGCTCTCTCTGAGGGAAAACTTTTTTTTTTCTGTGACAATAACACTTATTCTGCCTTCTCTGAAGGTAGTAGGAGCACGTGTGGGCTAGGACATGTTACACCTATTTCAGTCAGTCGTCTCTACAACCTGCTAACAGGATTATGACATCAGGGAACTGAAAACTCTGCTGATTCCCTACATCTGCTGCAACCCACCTCGATGGCAGTTCCAGCTGCCTTTGTATTGCCTGTGCCTGGCTTGGTTGTGGGGATGCAAAAGGAGATTTCTAAAATCCCGGGCTGAATAGCTTAAGATACCAGCAAAAATTAATGGGAGAGTTAAGAATGACAGGTTTTTTTTTTTTTTTTTTTTTTTTGGTTTTTCGAGACAGGGTTTCTCTGTGGTTTTGGAGCCTGTCCTGGAACTAGCTCTTGTAGACCAGGCTTGCCACAAACTCACAGAGATCTGCCTGCCTCTGCCTTCCTAGTGCTGGGATCAAAGACGTGCGCCAGTACCACTCGGAAAAATAGGTTTCTTTTCATGAATAAGGTTGCTTCTTAAATCTGATGTGTGATCCCATTAACAAGATGTATATATCCTTGCCTTCCTCTTTCATTGTATTTTTCTAACAATCTCTAACAGCCAGTTCTCTTGCCTCTATAAACACACAGCTATTTTCTATTAATATATTATCTTTTCCCCATAAAAGAGGCCGCAAAAGTCCAGTAAGGGGTTGCTTTTTAAATGTCGACGTAGGTTAGACAGCCGGCTGTCCAGTACGGAGTGAACCTCTAAATCAAAGCTTGCTTCGAGTAGACAATCATGACTTAGTCTTTCTCCTCGCAAGTTTCAGGTTTAACACTTAAATACAGTAGGCATGGCGACACATACCTGTAATGCCCCAATCAAGTTTACTTGAGAGGCTGAGGCAGGAGAATCTCAAAATCAAGGACAGCCTGAGTAGTGGAGGAAGCCAATTGTCTATTGGAAGCAAAAACCTCAGCATCCCTCACAGAATCTATGAACAAGCTTTGACAGAGCAATCCCAAGAACTTCTGGTTAGCTACAACGCGCCGTCGCCAAGCAACTTCCCGGCGTGGGGTGCAGCCGCTGCCAGTTACTGACGTCTCGCTCTTCCAATGACCTTCAGCGTCCGTGCTCCTCCTGGGCTCTGATTGGCTCTTATTTGAGGCTCCGCCTCCCACCTTCCTCTCTTTTTTTTTGCTGGCTGATGGTGGGCGTTTCGGAGTTTGCCGTGTCTGGATGTTGAATTGTTGAGTATACAAACACCTAGGATGCCGCGCGGAAGCCGCTCTTCCCGGGTGGCCCCTTCCGTCAGGTGAGACCCTCTCTAGGGGTGGGGACTGAGCGCGGGTGGCCAGGGCGAAGGCAGGGGGCGGCCGGCGGGTGGTGAGGCGGTGCGAGCTTTCGGGCAGGGATCCGCTCCTGGGGAAGAGGGCTCCCCAAGAACGGGGACGCGCTCTGTGCATTACGGAAGAGGACTCTAAAGCATGACCTTTGTCCTAGACTGCTTGCGGGAAAGGCCTTAGAGGACATAGTCAACGAAGAGGCGAGGAAAAATTAATTTATGTGAAAGTCTTGAGGTGGCTTTGTTTTACTGTGTTTTTGAGGTCCTCGGGCTAACCTTGGACTTCATGTGGGCCTGGCTGGCCTTCCTTGATTTTCCTATCTCTGCTTCCCGATGGCTGGGATTACAGGCTTTAAAGTCTTTAGAAAGAAAAAAATTTAAAAAAAAATTGTGTACGTGTTTTCGTGTGGAGAGCGGGGAATTTAGAGTTCTTTCTTTCCACCACTTCAGTCCAGGAGACCTAACATTGAGCTGTATCGCAGTGGATCGCAACCTTCCTATTGCTGTGACCCCTTAATTTAGTTAGTTAGTTCACCATGTAGTGGTGATCACCAACAATAAAATTATTCCCCTTGCTACTTCATAACTGTCATTTTGCTACTATTATAAATCGTAATGTAAATATCTGATGTGCAGGATGGTCTTAGGCGACCCCTTTGAAAAAGACCCACGGCGGGGAAACAACCACAGATTAAGCCCTGCTGCCCTATTGAGGCATATCACCGGCCCACGGGAAGATAAGTAGGAAGTTGCTGACAGTATCCAGATTCCAGGTGTTCTGTTTTGGGGGAATACAGTCGTAGGAAGTTAAAAACTGTGGTCCTGCTGGGAGGGGACCTGAGGACTGTCTATGTGGTAGGGGAATGAATGCCCCATCTACCAAGATCGTCCAACATGCCTCTGTCTCCTCAAAGACAAGAGTTGCCACCAATTCAAGGCTAGCAGGGCTACCCATGGAGAGACCCTGTCTCCAAAAACTAAAATGAAGTAAGATTAATAAAAGTTGCAGTTCAACAGGTCACTTTCCCTAAATTTTTCTTTTTGATTTTTGAGTTGGTGGTTTGTTTGTTTGAAGCAGGGTTTCATTGTGGCCCTGGCTGTCCTAGAACTCACAGAGATCTGCCTGCCTCTGCCTCCTGAATGCTGGGATTAAAGGTGTGGGCCACCATCCATGCCATACCCAGCTGCCTCATCTTTTTTGGTTGGTAAGATGAAGGCCTTGATCTACATTCTAAACATTACCTCATGACTGTCTTGGATTTTGTTGACTTTT